GTTAGCTACGCCGGGATTCGTTTCAGCAAGTAGATATCCATATATTTAAATGGACCTTGTTGGAGCATACGTAATCCTAAAATGTAGCATCGTACTACAGATGGCGTTTACCGCGCCATTTGTAATATTTTCTATCAGCTTGAAGTTTTCATTTAAAATGGGAAATTACCTAAAAAAATCAAAGATACACACTACACACCCAAGAATGAATAATACTTTTTAGATACTTTTTATCGTAAATAATGGATCCTAGTCTCCAATTTAGGCTTTATTCAAAGTGATTTTAACTAAAAAAAATGAAAATGTACATTTAGGTTGCCAAAATTTTAACCCACGGAAAACAATGGGTATTAAATAAAGGTGGTGGTCTTAAAAACTAGGGTACATAATTTTATATTCGGAAAGGGCATTTAAAAAACATTTTTTAACCTATTACGTTTTAATTAAAAATTTGATTAAAAAAAAAGAACTTAAATTTAGTAACGCCAACTTCGTCTTCTTACAATTTGCTGTATATTTAATGCACCCTTTCGACGTTTATTACTTATTACATTTCATTCTACTTGACCGGTTGAAAAGGGTAGCAGCATTTAAACTTGGACTTTATTTCCTTTAAAAGAACATACTCTAATTGCAAAAATCAATAAAAACACCTTTAAACTTATGGGTGGATGGCCTACTTTCAGTGTAGGTTTTAAATTAACAATATATTCTTTAACTACTTTTTGAGGGGTTGTTTTGGGTAACAGAACATGTGTGCTAATGCGTATACAATTTTACAGACGTATTTATACAGTTCTGCACTAGCATTAACAGCAATATCCGTTTTCTTGAAGATGGATTTCTTATTAAAACTGTTCCTCATGGTTGTATCCACAACTGTTCACATTGGTCTTTACAGCTATTTGAAACTATTCAACAGTTACGATGATCCAGGGGATGAAAAGTAAGTATTGATATAAAATACGGACTTGTTATTTTTTGTTGTCATCGAAAAGCTAATAATTTTTAAATTGGATCTTTCATAAGTAACTAATCAAATAATTATTCAACTATCGTATAATTACAGTTCGACTGCACCACTTACCACGCATTGGTATAATCAAACGATGATTTTTAATAACTTTGTGTAGGTCAAACGAGTGGCTCATTTCAAAAACGTATTAATGAACATCTCAAAACAGACTCTTAGATTAAGTATAAATTAACGTAATAATTTTTAAAGTTTTTGCTTGTCTTTTTTATGTCTATGTTAAACATTAAACTGGTACAAAATGGTTTTAAAAATAAATGACCATTAAGACATTATTATTGTATATTCTACTTACCATTTTACTTGTAAAAACACGTTTAAATTCTTCACAATATACACACACTTTTCTCTTTATGTAAATAAAACAACACAAAACCAAGCAAAGAAAACAAACGTTCGAATTATCAGGAAAACGGTATTGTTAAATTTTAATTTTAATTATCTCTTAAACGGTCATGTAATGATTACGATCTGTAAATCAACCAAAGCCGGTCAAACCGTGTTACTGTTACTGCGAATAAACTAACAATGATGAGAGATGTGAAAGCATTGGACTTCTATCTACAATAACCTTCAGATGTTTAGAACTTTTTTTATCAGTTGTGAAATAAGCTAAAAAAATTTGTTAGACGAGCAAAAAGTTCACGTTTACAGTGGCGTTCACGCAGGAACAAGCTCAGGGTTCACAAATCCAATTTGAATCAATCGTAATTTACGTTAATTTATCGTATGATAAATTTTAATATCTCACACCTTACTAGATTATTCTCCAATGTTTGATAATACAATTTTATTAACCTTTATCCTTTATATCTCTTTCTCTGCCTAATGTGAGAAGGTTTTAATCTTTTTCCTCCATAAACGGTACGAAAATTTTTTAAACCAAAAATATTTAAAATGCTATTGTTAAAAATGTTAGATAAACTTAAAAAAGTAAATTATTAGTTGTTATTTGCAATATTTTATTAACAATAGCAACTCAAAAGATGTATTATTATTATTAGTAGATATAGAATTTTAAATTTTCGTTTTTGTAGAAGTCGATATTTCTGAGATAAAATTTGTTCTGAAAACGATATAAGTATGTCGGAAGTTTACTTGCTCAATAACTTAGCTACGTAACTTTCTTCTAGATTATCCTTAGTTCCGGTAGAAGCAAAAAGCTTCCTTATTTTTGCAATCATTGTCATCATGTATCACATCCTCGATAGACAGATCCAATTTACATCGAGAACAGACTTCCTCTGGAAATCGAAGCTAAAAATCGAACAGGAGGAGGTTGAAACGATGAGAGGTATAAACAAGGTACGTGTGTGTGCTTGTATATGTGTATAGATAAATTCCTTGAAGAATATTTTCCCAAGTCAAGGAAATTTCCGCTCAACTGGAACTGCGGGATTTACAACTTTTCTAAATCTCAAATTCCATATATGTACATATTAGATACACGTTGAGGTTTGACTGCAATTTTTCCAGTTTAAAGAAGTCTTTGAAAAGAAATTTTTATTTATTTTCTTTATTTCATACATTTTTAAGACGAAGAAAAATAGATTTGTAAGAATGTTTTTCGGAAAAGGCATTATTTGAATATCTTCTATTGTTCTGTCACATATTATTTTAGAAGTTTATCGGGACTTCGCCTAAATGTGTCCTCATTGCGATAATTTGCAGATTTTATTAGAAAACATTTTACCAGCCCATGTGGCTGAAAGGTTTTTAACAATCAGAGATACGACCCAAGACTTGTATCACGAAAGATACTCTTGCATAGCTGTAATGTTTGCTTCCATTCCAAACTATAAAGAATTTTACGATGAAAACGACGTAAACAAGCAAGGACTGGAATGCTTACGACTGTTAAATGAAATCATCTGTGAATTCGATAAGGTATTTGAAACATACCGAAAAATCGGAAAAAGTATTTTTTTGTTTTATTCTTTTGTTTTGTAGTTGTTGTTAAAACCAAAGTTCAGCTGCATTGAGAAAATAAAAACTATCGGAAGCACCTACATGCTGGCAGCAGGCTTAAACCCAGGAAAGGAAGATAAAAACAGGGTGAGAACTAAAGAAACACATTTTCATTAACGCGAGCACCCACTCCTTCATCATCACCGTAAGATCTGTCCTAAAACTGTTTGGACACGCACCTTCACTCTTTCCTATCCTGAGTTAATCTTCGTATTCCCCTAAAACTAGAACATCCCCCATCCTAAACTATTAACGAACAGTAATTTAATCTAGGTCTATCTCTACTCCTCTTATTCCTGTTTCTGCCTCTAATATGTCTCTGACTAGACCTTTATGCCTGAGAAAGTGTGCTATACTTCGTTTACTTTCTGTAGCGATGTGACCTTCAGTTTGACCGGCGCAAAGTAGAAAAGAACAGCACTAGGCCAGAAAAGGAAGGAGACAACTCTCGGTCAAACACTTAACCGGTAAGGAGCGTATAATCCGTACAGTACTACACGGAAAAATTGACCATTTTATCCACTACAATTGCATTGCTCAAATGTGCTGTTATTGGTACCATTTACTACTGAAAATATCAACGAGATGTTTATTTATATTTGAAGACATATTAAAGGCTTTAACGCTTGTTTTCAACTCACACTACTATTCATGAATAAAGAAATTTTTTGGCAGGTACTGTATGAAAAAGTATGTTTAACGAACAAGAGTCGAGAGTATAATGAGATTTTTTCTCCCTACCTACGATTTTCCCAGCGCGCATCCAAGACATTGGAAGGGGCACATCGCTAGAGAAAGTAAATGAAGTATACCAACCTATCTCGCCTATTGTCTTCTGTTCTCCTATTCTTTCTCATGCCTCTTCATTTCTAACCTTCTCTATCCTTGAGAACGCAACAGCAGGCGAAACGTGGGGAAGAGATTTCCGGAGGCAACGGCCAGAAAACCCGAGCTCAAAAATACATTGCGACACAACGGCCGCGAAAGCCTACACAATTATTTATTAATTAACATTCTCTTCATTTTGTGTAAAAGCGCCTATTAATACTTTGCTTTCTTATTTCTTTGTGCTACAGGAAACTTTTAAGGTATTTAACCCTTTTTTTAACTGTGAAACGTGAACTGTAAAAAATAATGTTGTTAATTTTTGCCTTTTTATATATTAGCAGGAAGCCAGTCGTAAAGAGGAGCACATAATAGTTGCTTTGATTGACTTTTCAGTGGCTTTGATGACAAGTTTAGACCAAATAAACAGAGATTCTTTTCAAAGGTTTAAACTACGAGCGGGTAAGTAAATAAACTGAAAATTTTACAATAATAATAGGCAACTTTTTTTAATTTTTAACCGTCCGAAACAGATCTGATGTAGAAAAACTTCAAAAGTTCTTGGAAACTTGTAAAAATCTTTCAAATGTAACAATGATTGTGACATTTTTTCTTTTGGAAAATGTAGATTACTTTTAAAAAGTTTTCGAGTAGGTAGGCGGCAGAGTGATATTCGCGTGGTGGACTTTGTGAATGCACCACCCTATGGAATAAAAGTTCCGATTTATATTTAAATCATTTGATAAAAATGCCAGTAGATACCTACTTGTTTTTTGATCAATAATAAACTGATTGTGTTCTTGTTAAGAGATGGTTGTAATCACCAGGGCCGGACTGGCCCGGGGTGCAGGGGTGCAAATGCACTCCGGGCCAAATGACTCAAAAAAATTGAAAAAAAAAGAGAAATGAAAAAAATCTTAATAANTCTAACCTTTTCTACCCACGATATCCTCATCATCCGCCTATAACACCACATTTCGAACGCTTCTAACCTTTTCTTTTCCGCCGCGCCCACTGTCCATGTTTCGCACCCGTACAACGCCGTGTTCCAAACATACACCTTTAACAACCTTTTTCGATTTCCTAAATTAACCGTTCCCGAGCATAGAAGTGACTTCTTTTTCCCATCTACACCTGGCGCCTTATTATTCTTTAAATTTTTTTGTTGGCCTTTATCAAAAATTGAAGTTAACTGTTTTATATGCATTCAAATTTTAACAAGTTTCCAATTGCGAATTGAATTTGTACTCTTTGATCTCTATCGTATATATACACTTTCATTATTAACGAAACGGTTAATTAGTGGGGTAATTGCCTTGCATTATTGCACTTCGTGTAAAAAGGACAAAACATCCTTTTTACTGTTTGTATTGAACTCCTGCGTCTGCTGTTTTTGCAGGTGTGTTTATTCATAATTTATCAGAAACAGAAATCTTACTTGTAGGTTAATTACGTGTAAAATTTTCATGTTAGGGGCGCACTGCGTCAAAAAGCTACGCAGGGAACAGAAAGTAATTTATTTATCACGCACAGCACAGTTAAAAGCTTATGATTTTCATTCAAATTCGAGATAGAAATCATAACTCAACACGTTAAGTTTGCCAATTAATTATGCTTTTCAATCAGGGTAAATAGCAAGTTTCAAAAAATTTCTTTTCAAATGGTAAAAATCACTCACGACTGCAAGGGAAATTAAGTTTTATTAATTTATGAATAAAATGTGTAATATCTATCTAATTTTGGAACAGCTTCAACATACCCAAACTTAATTAGGAGTTTGATTTCCGGTAATGAGCTTACCTAAGCTAAATTTCCTGAGAAATCTGATTTGATTGAAGAAATAATTCATTTCAGAAAATATTAATTTTAAACGCCAATAAGGTTTGAACCACACCTTACTGATCTATTCATTTAATAATTTTATTAATCAAATGTTTCTTTTGGTACGTGTACTTTAATGATTGCCTCTTCAAAACAAGATTTTCACCTTTCTCATCATTGAGAAATTGAGCTGCAGTTTTATGTATTACAGTAAAATGTGAAATGAAAAGTAATTCTTAGGACTCATAAATATTTATTTACCTCATAACTTTTAGAAGGAAGAACAAAATCAATAAAATATTACAGACTCACATTGCAGTCATTTCAAAGGAGAAAACAAAATCTACCATACTTACTTATCAAATACTAACTGGAATATACGAATTGTAGAGAAAATACAGACGAATTTTGAACTAATTTTGGAAATTCGTAAAATGTTACATCAAAATATTGTTTTTCTTGGAACTTGTTTTTCTATTCGTTTTAAGTCAAACTCGTCCAAAATTTAAATAGAATGTAATTGGACTACTATACTCAAAGTCTGTTAGTTGTTGATAAAGTTTGTGAAAATCCAAAAAGGCTTACTTTATTGTGATATGGATCGTCATCAAATAAAGGTGGAATCTATTCAATATTTGGAAGTAACAATTTTTGGATCATCACACAAAAAAATAGATTTGGCCCGCAAGATGGTCCGCGTAAAACTATTCCTAATTGTTTATAATAAATAAAATTATTGTAACCTACGAACAATTAAAGAAAAATTAGCCCAGATCGTTTTTGACAACCTCCTATTCATGAATTTCATTGAAATCGGTTTAGTCGTTTAAACGAAGATCCGCATTTTCGCATACTGTATATTTAGATGTATAAATACAAATGCATAAATAAAACCGAAAGTTTACGGTTAAATTGTCTTTACAGAACAATAATACTGTGGGGCACTTTTGGTCCTACACTGATGGTGCTTCTTGCGTTTACTTATTTATGCTGGCTGAGAGGATGTAATGGTCAGAGGCTTGTCTCAGAGACTCCCACAGATTCGTCAGAAACTTACATAGCCCCAGGCCTAATCGTTTCAAACAGTTCTGGAATTAGACTCAGTATTTTGTTGATTTCTGTAGTTCTAATATCAACATGCGCTGTGGTCACCTTGGTGAGCAACAATCTTCATTTTAAAATATTAATTATTACAATTACAATAAGAAACATATCTATAACATACAGTTCCAAATATTTTGTCGTAAAAGGGTTTTATCTGATACTCAAACTCAGTAAGTAGTAACAAAATTGCTATTACTTCTACAAGATGCGAAGTGGAGAACGTCAACTATTTTGACTGACATTTTAATAAATTTGGGCTAGTGAAACAGAAGCACCACTGTTTAACATCAAAAGGAAAGCATAATTTTATTAAAAAAGGTTCTGACAAGCTTGATCATATAAAACCTGACTCAACTCGTAACTCAAAGTGCCTATTTCTACCTAAATTTGTTTTCTTGCATTATTTTAACATAAAAAGAAAGCATGTAATGTAAGCAGACGTAGATAATGTAAATGTTTGTAGTTTTTTGTAACAACTTTTCAGGTAGACTACGAACAACCCCCACTTCAGTTGGAGTTAAATTATTTAAATGAATCAGATCTAGGTTCAGGCCAATTAAATATTACAAACGGTTCTACTTCTTCAACTGAAGAATACTCAGACATGGCTGTTATTCAATATACACCAGTAAGTAATCTATGAATCAGCTTGAATAAAATAATTCGAAGTGGTCTGTATTCTGTCGAAACTGCCACACGCGGATCGCGATTTCGATCTTTTTGGATCTCATCAGCGCGTCGCAGACAGCTCCGACAGAACACAGACCAACTTTTACCTGCTGTCTTAACAGCGCGTTTAGGAAAATACTACAAATGGCGAGGTAAACGCCATCTGTAGTACGATGCTACATTTTAGGATTATGTATCCTCCAACAAGGTCCATTTAAATATATGGATATCTACTTGCTGAAACGA